ATCTCCTAATCTGCTGTCAAATCCTTTTTCTTTCACTCAACCCTTTTTGTTAGATTTATAAGAGATACTGCCATCTTTAAATATCTTTTAATAAATCTCTAATAAAAGTTGATGAATCCCAGGAATTAGAGTACCTCTCTTATATTCATTAATTTGGACCATTCTTTGATAATCCTTATATAGTCCTTCTCTATATTAATCTCTTTAAGGCTTATTATAAATCCTAAAAACAAAACAATCTGCACTTTAAATACATATTTGCTCAGTTTAGTATATAGCTTATACTAACACAAACAGCTTAAGATCTCTGAGACATATTTTCTATATTCATTCAGATCTTGTGAGTAGATGATAATATCATTAAGATAAGCCATACAATATACATCTAGTAGATTGCTAAACACTCTATTAATATAGGATTGGAACATTATGAAAGTATTTGCTAGGCTAAATAGCATTATAATATATTTATAATATCTATAATAAATATAAAAGGCTGTTTTCTATTCATTCCTCTGTTTAATACGAATTCAATGATATGTATTGTGTAGATCTAGCTAGATAAAGACTCTTACACCCACTAATTGGTCTAGTATTTCTCTTATAAAAGATAATGAATATTAATTCTTAATAGTAATTATATTAAGACCTCTATAATCTATATATAGCCTTAAAGTCCCATTCTTCTTAGATATAAAAAGGATTAAGGCTTCAGCTGGGCTTTTTAATTTTTAAATCTATTCTTTAATGATATTTATCATAAAATATTCTTATAGAACTTCTTATTCCTTCGGACTGAGTCAATATATTGAATAGTAAGATAGCTTCTTTCTATCAATAAGATCGATAGTATGATCATATTCTATATTTAATGATAGTGTGCCTATGGCTTCTTTTAAAAAGATATCTAAATACTGTTATACATAGAATGATAGTTCTGAATCCCAGGCTGAAGCCAGCAGAACTAATTCTCTTTATAATTCTCTAAGCGATATATATGCTACGAATGCTGAATATCCTATTTTGATTTCTTGTATTACCTTTTGGGCTGAGATCTTTTCAACCTTTAGCCTTGGTAGTTCGATCTTCATTGAGTCCAAAGATGGGGTTACCTTTAAACTTCACTTTTAAATCTTACCTCTCAAAATGTGATAGCAATATACAGAATCTTCACTATCTAAATCATGCTGATGATAGTACCACTGTTTAATTATATATCAAATATCTAGGTCTACCTCTTCATGCCAGAGCATTCCTAGTATAAAGTCATATTTCTTCATATTTATAATACTAAATGCTTGTATAAAAGACTTCGTTCTATCTTCTAAATCAGGAATAATAATGTTTAATAGTATCTTACTGAAGATATTAATTACATAGCTATTAATTGCTTATACCTGGACTACACTCCCAATATTACAACATAAATACTTCGCAGCCCATTCTTAACTTACAAAGTTCTTTTATGCATTACCATCTATTAAGGCCAACGCTCATTAGGTTCTCTTTGCCATCTTTACATATATATATATTTCGACATAGAGCCCTACTTTAGTCTGACTCCCATAAATACCTAATACCATAGCGGCTAGTAGTATTAGTTCAAAGAGTCATTTCTAGTGTTTCAGTCTTAGATACAGATTCTTAGTTCAGTATTTATCCTCTAAATATCTTTTTCTATAGTAGTGATTACATTCAACTTCTTCTTTCTTTAGATTAGTGCTCTTCCTTTCAGACCTTTTATAAGATTCTTATTACTTTAAAGATCTTCTTTAATCCAAAGAAGATGCTTTCTTTCTTTTATACCACTTCTTCCATGCTGACTTTAAGCTTATATTGTGATCTGATGAATTATATCTTTATTCAGATAACTTATCCTTTTTCTTACTTTGTTTTAGGGCTGCTTGTCTTTCTAGTATGCTATCTTTGATAGCCTGAATATAGAGTATAAAGTCTTCATAATTTTTTAGAATATTTAGGTATTTATCTAGTTCTCTATGAATCATTAAGAGAATCTTACCATGAAAGTGCATTCACCTTTGAAATTCAATATACTGCTAATCTAAACAATCCTCCCACCTATAAAGAATAGTATTAAATTCAGCTATTGTCTAATTCTTCTATTATTAAGCTGTTAGGAATTTAGAATTCGCCTCTTGTTAAACTAAGATCATAGATCTGACCAAGTTTATTATAAATCTTTAGAATCATTCCCATATCATATCTTTAAGTTTCGCACTATCTTTTTAATAGATAGCCTACTTTTTCAGTATACTATCTCTAAAAGTACTAACAGCCATTAGAATCTTTTATTTATAGATATTTCCCCTATCAAAGAATCAACAGTTTCTTTAGAAATACATATTTAGATGATTCTCGAACATCTACTGTTCATAATGTGATTTCTTCTTAAAGATTAAAAGATCCATCTTTAGGGGCTTATTATCACTATATATCTCTATATGGGATCTCTTCTAACCTATGCTTGGGGCATCTGATGGTTCTTAAAGGACCAATTCTATCTTTATAAGTTGTTCTTCCTGCTCTAAAGAGTCACTATTTAGAGTGCTTCTTAATGTCTTAATCCTCTGAAAAAGAGCTTTAATATATAGTTACTTCGCCCATTATACCTCTTAAACCACGAGGTCCGCTTTTAGTCGATCTAGTTATTCAGATGTCATGATAAACAATTTGTTCGATATATACTTGCTAAGATCTCGTTCAGGTTCAATCAGTTACTTAGTTATACTCTTAATAATATTAGCTAGATATACATTCATAAGATTATTTTATTTAGTCTCGCTGTCCCTCGTTCCCTAAGTCTCAGCAGATCCTTCTTTGGCTATAAGTGCGTCGATTGAATCGCTAACCTAAAACAGAGGATTCAGGTGAGTTAAATGAGACCGAAGTTAACATTCAGACATAGTAATTAATATAAATAGGCCCTTCCTAATATATGAGCGAATAGACTGTAAGGGCTAAGGTTGGTAGAGTGTGAATATATTGATTTCTATATCAAATGAAGCTTCACTAGTATGTGCTCTGCGTATGGGTAGCTATTCGCTACCCCCTTTTACTATGAGAATTCAGCCCAGTATTTATGAGCGGTGTCTCTAGACACATGACTCACTAGCGCCCGCGTCACGTGCACTATATAGAATCAACACCAACCTCTGTACATTCGAATAGGGGCGTTACACTAAATATCTGAATACTAATAGATTTCCATTAATAATATTAATATATTTAGGGTTAATCCTAATTCTTTATAATTATTATTGATTATATAATCATTTTTAAAGCAGCTTTTCATAAATTGAATTCTTATTTTTGAATTGGGACTTTGTTTCAGATATTTTTATAAATATTATAATAATTCTTAATATTATTCAGATAATGATAATACTTTTTCTATTTTTGATATATATTTTTTTGAATTATGTTATATAGCGTATCTAATAGAGTAAATATATATATATTTCTATACTTATTCTATGGTATTCATCATTACTTATCTATTTTTTAATATATCTTAATAATTAGATAGAAAATTATAATTTTTATATTATTTATTTATCTAATTCACTAAAATTTAAAGAGATTTTAATATATTTTTAAGAATAAAATCTAATTATAATTAAAAATTCTTTTATATAATTGAGTTATCTAAATAAAAATTAAATTAGATTTATATTGATTTAATTATAATTAGTAATTCTTCTTTAATATAATTTAATTTCAATTTAGAAAGTTAGAATCATTCAGTTTTCAGTTCTGATTTTAATATTAGAGACCAAACCGAACCGACCCACTTTTAGGTTTGGTTCAGAAACTCAGGACCAGAACCGAACCAAATGACAGCCTAATTGATTCCTATGTTGAATAAAGCTTCACTAGTATGTACCCTGCGTATAGGTAGTTATTTGCTCTCCCTTTTACTATAAGGATTTAGCTTAGTGTTTATAAGCAGTGTCTTTAGATATATAACTTATTAATATCTATATTATATATATTATATAGAATTAATATCAATCTTTATATATTTAAATAAAGATATTATAACTATCTTTCTTCTCTAAAAAGTATAATCTTATACTTTATTTAATATCGTTAGATAGATCTCTTTAACTATTATAATCTATATAAATTATAAATATCAATTTGGTGTAGTGATAGAGATATTTATATATAAAATAATATACTCTATAATATTAAATTCATTTTCTTTAATAATAAAAAAAAATATAATTTAATATATTTATATTCTATTAGATAATATATAAATTTTATTTTTTTATTATCTTATAATTCTTTTGTTTTAATATAGTTTTAAATTTTAAAATTTTATCTTTTATATAATAAATAGCTGCTTAAGGATTAAAAGTTAAAAAAATCTATTCATAATAGCAGTATTAAGCTTAAGAAAGTTAAAAAATAAAGATATAAGATTTAAAGCTATATTAGAAGAGAAAAATTATAAGATAATAGAAAGATAAGATTTATATATTATCTGATAGAATATAAATATATTAAACTATATTTTCTTCTTACTATTAAAAGAAATAAATTCAATATTATAGAATATATTACTTTATATATAAATATCTTTATCATTATATTGAATTAATATTTATAAGTTATATAAATTATAGCAGCTAAAAAGCCTATTTAATAATATTAAATAAAGTATAAAAATACACTTTTTAAAGAGAAGAGATAGCTATAATGCCCTTATTTAAATGTATAAAAATTGATATTAATTTTATATAATGCATATAATATAGATGCTAGTGAGTTATATATCTAAAGATATCATTTATAAATACTGGGCTGAATTCTTATAGTAAAAGAGAATACTGAATAGCTATCTATATACAGGGTATATACTAGTGAAGCCTCATTTGATATAGGAATCAATATATTCACGCTCTGCCAACCCTAGCCCTTACAGATATATTTTTAAAAATTTTTTTCTACTTTTCCTTTTTTTTTTTCCGGTTTATTAGATTAAATCATCATTATTAACCCTAATAGTAGGATATTAGTCATAGGAGCCAATCAGATAACAAAGAAAGGTGGGCAGCCCTGGCGGCCATTGCCGATAGGGTACAGAGCAGAAGATTGGCCATATTTGCAATCATGGAAGCTTCTCGATTCCATATCGAGTATCTAATCATGAAGCGATTTCTCTTCACTGGGCGTTAATTTTTGAGAATTTGGGCATGTTTTAGCGCGTTCAGAGAGGCTCTTTAAGCGCTCTTGAAATGTTGTTCTTGACACGTCAAAAACATGCGCTGCGTGGCGCACACTTGCGATTTTTGTGGTTGTTAACGCATCAATAGCAAGGGCAAGTCTGCCTTCATAGCTAGAATCATTTTTTGCAGCATTTGGAGGCATGTTGGGATGGCTTGGCGATTTTGGAGAATATGTGGTTGATAAAGTTGAGGATAAAATGGAGGGGTGGCCCGCTCGGTTATATGACCCGTTCGCTTATAAAATACGTTATTGATGTACCTTTCTATTCTGGGGCGGCCTCTCACATATTCGAATTTTCCATATCAATATTATTAAGATGGTTATTGTTTGTTTATTGTTGAGTATTGATGGTGTGTAGATAATGCACGTGACTTGCATAGCTAGCGAGGAACATAATTTATATAATACGAAAAAGCGGGGTTGGGGTAATAGTCTTGTTACTCAAACTTATGAACCCAAACTTATGACAGCGGCAGATTGTACCCAATTGTTCGACCCGTCTTGCACTTCAAGTCTGCTCCCATCAAGAGGGGCGAGCCATCGATTTGTGATAAAAGTCTTGATACGCTAGGTATTTTGTGGTTTCAATTGTGCGCCTTACTTTTGAACCGCACCAATCTTCCTCATGTCAGATCCATCTGATTATACCGTTGGGTGGATCTGCGCCATTGATACCGAATATGTTGCTGCCCAGTCATTCCTAGACAAAGAGGACGACCAACCAGAGACTCTTTCTCCCAACGATAATAATTGCTATACTCTAGGCGAGATTGGTGTCCATAAGGTTGTAATTGCTGTCCTGCCTGATGGAGAGTATGGTACCTCGTCTGCAGCGAGTGTTGCGAGAGATATGCTCCACAGCTTTCCTAATATTAGAATTGGTCTAATGGTAGGTATTGGTGGTGGTGTACCGAGCAGGCATGATATTCGTCTTGGTGATATTGTGGTTAGCGCGTCGCGTGATGGAGAAGGTAGTGTCTTCCAATATGACTTTGGCAAGACGGTTCAAGGTCAGAGTTTCTGCCGAACAGGATTCCTAAATCAGCCACCTACCGTCCTGAGGACAGCGGTGAGCGGACTCAGAGCCCAATACGAGAGGAAGGGACATCAGCTTGAGGAAGTCATAAGCAACGTACTGGAGAAGAACAAAAGAATGCAAAAAAAATACAAACGGCCAGACTTGGATAGACTTTACCCAAATCATATTATCCACCCCCCAGATAGCAAAGCAAGTTGCGCCGAAACATGTGATTCGACTAAATTGATATTACGATTGAAACGGACTGAGGATGAGGATAACCCCATGATTCACTATGGGTTAATCGCGTCGGGAAATAAATTGATGAAAGATGCTTTGATTCGGGATAAGCTGACAGAGGAGAAGGACATTCTATGTTTTGAAATGGAAGCAGCGGGGTTAATGAACCATTTCCCCTGTTTAGTAATCCGTGGCATCTGTGATTACTCGGATTCCCATAAGAGTAAGGAGTGGCAAGGATATGCAGCAATGGCAGCAGCAGCGTATGCGAGAGATCTCTTATATCAAATAATCCCTCAGCGGGTGCAGGGTGAGAAAAAGATAAGTGATATTCTTTCATCTGGTCAGTCAAGCACATTATCTTGTAAGAGGTAACCCTATTAACTAGTCCTCTTAGTCAAGGAAGCCATAGTTGAAGTTCAAAAGACAACTCAAGATACAAATTTTATTATCAACGAGCAGAACCAACGCGAAGAGCATCAAGCTATTACCAGATGGCTTACGCCGGTAGATTATGGTCCTCAACAAAGTGATTTCATTAATAGGCGACATAAAGGGACTGGAGAATGGTTGTTAAGATCGAATGAATTTCAGCAGTGGTTGAAAGAAGGCCATCAGAGTCTTTTCTGTCCAGGTATGCCCGGAGCAGGAAAGACAATTGGAACGTCTGTTGTTATCCGCTACCTCCAGGAGAAATTTGAAAAAGATCCTACCATCGGCATTGCATATTTGTATTGCAATTTCAAGCAAAAGGATAAGCAAAGCCTGATTGATCTAATATTAAGCCTCTTAAAGCAGCTAGTTCAGGAACAGCCTTCTATACCCAATATTATGAAGGATCTATATAGTCGTCATGGACCTAAACGAACTCGTCCTTTACCTGATGAAATCCTAGATGCAATGCGTCAGGTGATATCTTCTTACTCAAGGACTTTTATAATTGTTGATGCACTGGACGAATGCCAAGTTTCATATGAGGGTCGTGGAATATTCCTACAGGAGATCTTTAGTCTTCAGGTTAAGACAGGAATGAACATTTTCGCGACGTCACGGTTTATCCCAGAGATTGAAAAATGGTTTGAGAAAAGTATAAGACTTGAGATCCGTGCTAGTGATTCAGATATACAAAAATACCTTGATGGGAAATTACAGAATTTCCAATCATCAGTTTCAAAGAATCTTTCTCTCCGGGGAGAGATCAAGAGCAAGATTGCTAAGGCAGTTGAGGGAATGTATGGCATTATTCAATTTGAAAACCCCATTAGTTGACGTTAAACAGGTTTCTCCTTGCACAGCTTTCTGTCGATTCTCTCGCCTATAAGACAACACCTAAGGCAATCAGGCTTGCGCTTAGGGATTTGGAGACAGAAACTGAATCGCTAAATGATAATGATGACAAGCAGTTCAAAGCGTTAGATCGTGCCTATATGGAAGCCATGGATCGAATCAATGCGCAGTCGCCAGAACACCGAGAGCTGGCAAGGCAAGTTTTATCATGGATCACTTGCGCCAAGAGAAGCTTAACCTGTTCAGAGCTTCAACACGCAATAGCCGTAGAGATGGACGAGCGTGAACTTGACAGAGAGAATATGACAGATATCGAGCTCATAGTCTCTGTGTGCGCTGGCTTGGTTATTATTGATGAAAAATGTGAAATTATACGTTTAATTCACTATACAACGCAGGAATACTTCGAGCGTACTTGGAGGGCCTGGTTTCCTAACGCCCATACTGATATTACAAAGACGTGCGCTACGTACCTGTCATTTGACACTTTTGAATCCGGTTTCAGTCCAACACATGAGGCTTTTCAGGCAAGATTAGAATCAAATATTCTTTACGACTATGCTGCACGGAATTGGGGACATCATGCTCGTATATCTTCCATTGAAGGGGGGAAGTTGATTTTGGATCTCCTTGAGAACAGGAAAAAAATATCTGCCTGTAGCCAGGCATTAATGGCGTCTGATGGCTTCTCTCGCTACTCTCGCATCTTCAATTGGAAAGCTGAAATGATAACGGCAATACACCTCGCAGCATACTTTGGACTTGAAAAATCCATGACAGCCTTACTCGACAGACAACATGACCCAAACTCCAAGGATTATTATGGTCGGACACCGCTATTATGGGCCGTGGAGGGTGGACATGAGGCGATAGTGAAGCTGCTACTTGAAAAGGGTGCTGATCTTGAATCTAAGGATCATGAATATGGTCGGACGCCCCTATCGCGAGCAGCGGAGGGTGGACATGAGGCGGTAGTGAAGCTGCTACTTGAGAAGGGTGCTGATCTTGAATCTAAGGACTGTGAATATGGTCGGACGCCTCTATCGTGGGCCGTGGAAGGTGGGCATGAGGTGGTAGTGAAGCTGCTACTTGGAAAGGGTGCTGATCTTGAATCTAAGGATCAAAAGTACGGCCAGACGCCGCTATCCTGGGCCGCAGCGAGTCAGCATGAGGCGGTAGTGAAACTGCTGCTTGCAAAGGGTGCTAAGCGCCAATCTTATTTGGACGTATCCGATATGCAATTTATGGCCGGTAGAAATAACGATATGACCATGCGCAGCATGCAAATCAATATGAGGAAGCATATGCGCTTGGCACTCCGCTCCGTAGGCACAAGACGACTACCTGAAAGGAAGTGAAAATGAATGAGAGGAACCCACCCTGGATGCGGCACGGTCACCGTGAAAGCTTGGTCTACTCACTATTTCTTTTGCTTTGCGGAGGAACGTGGTCTTATTATTTTTATGTATGTTATGCTTGCGTGTATTTAATGGCCCCTTATTTGTTGACTGTGGCTCATATACAGTTGTTGAACTATAGCAAATTAACTATACGGCATCTTTACTGCTACGCGTATCTCTATATGACCTAGAGCAGCTATGTCCAATAGGAGAGTCGAGTACGAAAAGGCTTATTAGATCGTACAAATTCAACTAAATTGAACCAGAGCTTGTAAGTCTCTTAGGATTAGCTAGTTTGATGGGTAGCACCAGCTGTTACTTTAACGAACAGACTAATGTTTCAATTGAAATACTTAGCCACTATTCGTAGATATTTAACTAGATTATGAGCCTGTGCTATATATTGGATGTCGCGGAGTAGTTTTTTTTTTGAGGCGCCGATTTACAAATAGGCATATAAGACGTCATTGGGTGATATGTATCCAATATTTGCGAATTAACGATTCTTCAGAATCCTTGAGATCTTCTTATCAAGCTAAACTATATTTAAACGCATTTTCCATTCTTCGATATAGTTTAACCTTCTATAACTCAGTCTTTTGAAGCTGCAATCCTATAGTAAGCAGATATACATGAAATTTAGAGCATGAATTCTAATGGTATATATTCTTTTGAATCTGATAGATTTTAACAGAGATCCATATCTGCTATGGGTTCAATTTTCGTGAAATGGGAAACGCTCTCTCATGAAATAGTTTCCAAATTGATTTATTCCAGTATATTTCACCAAACATGTCATTCGATGAAAGATATAATACCCACAGTGGCAGAGTCAATGATCTTCAACTGGATGCCTGGTCTTGGTCCTGCCGCTCTGGGAGAAAGCCCATTCCAAAATATGGCTGTCAAACAAACGCATATCCGGACCAAACTGGGAATGTTGGCTAGCGCGGGAGCCGGAGGAGCAGACGGCAGCCAGATTTTACTTTTCCTCCGGGGTGCTTTGGCCAACATGCCCTCGCTGTGGGTGGGACGCGCTGCACAGGAGATGAAGAGCATTGCACTGTGGTTGGCGGAAGATAGTTCTCTCCACAGGCAGGTTGGGGAATTCGCCAAGCATATTGACTACGACTAGTTTTAGGGTTTTGCTGGTCCGATCCCAGGATAACAAACGTAGTTCCCGGCCGATCAAATCACCTACTCGCATTAGAAAATTTTGGATCAGGATATGTCAACTGGAAAATATTGAATAATCTCAAATTAGCGATTTTTACATTTATTGATCTTATGCTCTCCTGGGCCAAGCTTTTTGGATCTGTCCCGGCCTGCAAATCTCAAGGTTCCCTTTCCCATACATCCCAGCCTCCATAGCGTTAGGTGTCACGATATCGACTCAAACACTGCACGTGACTTATTACGTGTGTCAGGCTGTCAGCCTGCTCCCTTATATTCCCGATAATCGTCAACCAAATCTAATCGGCCAACTGCCTCAATAAGTTACCGTTTATTCCTTTTACTGTTTGTGTCTATCGTGTTACGGTCTGTGTTTGATGCGTCTCGTTAGCAGGCCGCGTGGAAGCGTACCCACCGCTATCACTGGTCGTTCCAGAGATTCCCCACCCCGTGCACGCATAAAGGTAAGTCGCGGGAATAGCAGATCGTAGTCCACGGTCGTCACTCGTTCTTTTGCTCTTGTCGGGGAGGCTAATATATGGGGCGTCTTTCGTCTTGAGAATTTCCGGGATGACTGGTCTGGCAGACAGCTTCATTCCGCGGAAAATCGCTGGTATCTCGGCTACAACTACTAGCCCAACCGGCCTATGTGCTGCCAGTGGACAGGCAAGGGACGTATTCCAGTTTACTGTCTTGCTTCGGATGCACATATCCCAATTGTGGATGCATGATAAAGGCAGTCTTGCCCCAAAGCGATCGATGTCACTAAGAGATGTTGGCTCACAGCGATTTTTTTCACAGCTCGGGTCAATTCACACAGCTGTCGGCTTCACGGTGCAAACCCAGTCACACAGCGGCCCTTTTCGTAGCGCTGTCCATGACGGAGGTGACCCTCTTCAGCGATTGATCTGTGTCATGCAGTGACTTTTTTACGTGGTGACTTGTTACGTGCCGCGACCGGTTTCATACGATTGTTCTGGTCCGTGTGCGGCCATTTTCGCGCCGTAACTGCCTTCTCCAACAAATAGGGACTGGTTAAAAGCCTGACCAGCCTTGTCATTGTCAAATCTGACAATTTTTGTGAAATTTATAGTGGGGCAAAGTGGGTAAAAGTAAAGCAATATTATTGGCTAATATTCAGAATAAACCAATAGAAATTTAAAATATTTCTTGGCAATAACTTAGTTAGTTTAGATCATCAGTTATTAGCTGGATTTAATAATAATTAGATCACATGAAATATTTAAGAATATTTTATTACTAAAAACAGTATAGCTCCTTCTGTAATTTATTAGTAAAAATGGATTGACGTCAAGCCCTTGAAAATTTTGTCAAGCCTGACAAAAATTTGTGTCATGTCAGAGACCCACCCTGACATGACCATTCCCTACCAACAAATGCCTACAGTCACGTGGCTACGCGCAAATTTCGTGAAAGAGGGGTCGCGTTGGATCTAGCCCGAGGTGGAAATATTACGCGAACCTGAGTCCAAACTTCAGGTTGGTGGAGTCTTAAGTAACAATCAAAAAATAGGGATTACAAAATATATATATTAATAGCCAGTCCCTTGCCAGTAGTAATGCATTTAAATCAGAAATCGGAGCCTAGGGACTATAACTATTCCGGTCTATCTTCGTCAAGAGTGAGTTTTTTTCAGCTCCGTGCAATACAATACCCTCATACTAATTTAAAAAAGACAAAACATGTCTCAGCAGAAAGTCTACTCTACATCCGCGAGGGTTCTCTCTTGGGACGAGGATAGATCACCTGCTACTCAATCTACCTTCCCTCGCTTGACCCCCGCCACAGTCAAAATGATCCTCGATGATCTCAACTCTGAGGTCACCAGCAGCTATCAGATGCTATACCTCCCTGCAGGGCCTGGCTGCGCAAAGGATGGATCTGCTGTTTTTGTCTTCACCGATCTCATTGAGTCGGAAGACTTTGAAGGCAGGAAGGGGAGCTTCATGACCCAGGGCACAGGAAAATTTGACGCAACAACGTATCGAGTAGAAGGCAGGTTTGAAATCGTGCCTCGAAGCGGAAAGGGAGATCTTGGGGAAATGTTTAAGGAAGGCGGGAATGGCAGTTTTAGATCAGATGAAAAGAACCCAAGTCAAGTAAAATACAGGTTTGTGCTCCCCTAAATGCAGAGTTGGGAAGCAGCCCGTGGATATCGAAATTATTAGATAGAGATACCTCTCTCCCATCAAGTGCTTTTTACATCAGACATATACTCTATTCTATTGCTCATCATGATACATGTAATAGCACTCTAACTCTAGCTTTGTCAGATGAATTGTCTATAAGGCAAATGCATGGTTATGGACAACTAATACTAGTTTGCGTGGAATCCCGACGGGTGTTCATATAAAAGCTACCCGGCGCTAAGCTTAATTAGAAAAGATGCTATCAAGACCTATAGGAATACCATCTATAGAAATGATAATAAAAAATTTTTAAAATTTAAGATTAATATAGCTGCCTAAAATATCTAATAGATTAAAATTAATAATCTTAAATAATTCTAATCTAAAGAATTCTAAATTTAAGATTAATGTGAGGCCCTACATGTTATAAGAGGTCTATAACCCTTCAGCGTGTCTAGGCTGTCATTTGGTTCGGTTCTGGTCCTGAGTTTCTGAACCAAACCCAAAAGTGGGTCGGTTCGGTTTGATCCCTAATATTAAAACCAGAACCAAAAATTGAACGGTTCTGACTCTTTAAATCAAAATCAAATCATACTAAAGAAGAATTACTAATTATAGTTAGATTGGTTCAAGTTTAATCTAGTTTTTATTCAAATAACTGAACTGTATCAAAGAATTTTTAATTATAATTAGATTTTATTTCTAAAAATATATTAAAACCTCTCTTAATTTTAATGAATTAGATAGATAAATAATATAAAAATTAGAATTAATTATTTAAATTATAATTTTCTATCTAATTATTAAAATATATTAAAAAAATAGATAGATAATAATGAATACTATAGAATAGATATAGAAATATATATATATATTTTCTTCTATATAACATAATCTAAAAATATAAATAAAAAGTAGAAAAGATATCATTGTCATCCAGATAATTCTTAAATTATAATCTAAATATTAAGAATTTATTATAATATTTATAAAAATATCTAAAACAAAGTCCTAATTCAAAAAATAAGAATTCAATTTATGAAAAGCTGCTTCGGAAATGATTATATAATCGATAATAATTAACGTATTCCACAAGCATTCTGCGCACACAAGCACTCTGCGCATCCTACTAAATTTCTTAACTTTCTTAATTCACCACTCGCTTTAAAATATCATTTATATTCCAAAATATCTAAAACATATATAAAAAAGGGCTCTAAATATGAAGAAAGACTTCTACTTGCTATGAACACGTTAAAAAATCAAAAAATCATAAGTATTCGTAAAGCAGTGCATCTTTATAAAATAGTAAAGTCAACACTCTATAGTCGCTTTAATGATTATATTGAAATCTTAGTAACAGGCTCAAAATATTAAAAATTAATCTCTATTAAAAAGGAATCACTTTATATATAAATATTTTTAATAGAATCATATAGATATTCTATCCAATCTTAAATACTTTAAATTATAGCTAATATTTTACTTTTAAAATAAGAAAATATAACTATATTAGTTACTATTAATATAACTAAGTAAATAACTTTTTAAAATGTTAATCTAATCTTAAAACATGATTTATATATTAATTAATATATTTCTATGTTAAATGCAAAGATCCGAAGTGTCAAAAGTTGTCAACAACTCGTCTCAAGATCGGAGATCTTAGAGGATATTCTGCTAACACAAGATAAAAGAGTAATGTAAGACTAATATCAGATGATTATCTATCAAAAATAATAATAATAGTAAGAAGATTTATTAAATACTAAATAATAATATACTATTTAAGATAAAGATAAAAGATAATTAACTATATATATAATAGTAAATAAATATTTTATATATATTAAGAGATATTAAAGCTATACTTTAATATTTAGAATTATTATTTCACTATATAAAAGCTATACTTCTATATATTAAAGCTCTACTTTATTAGATCATGTGTTTAGTATATATTAAAATAAGATATTAATATATAATAATTATATTATTATATCAATAGCTATAGCTAGGCTAAAAGTATAGCTATTTTTAGTATCATTTTTATAATATATAATTATACTTAATAATAATTTTGCTTATTATTATTTAAATCTTATTGAATGCTTATATAATAATATTTATTATAATATTTATTAGTTATAATTTATTGATTTTTATAATAATCTTTTTCTTTAAAGACTAATATCCTAATAGTATAATAAATAATCAGCTATATTCATATTCTTAAATAAGTATCTTTATTTTATAATTTTCTATATTTATAATAATAGTCTAATCATATCTTTAAAGAAATCTTTTTATATCTAGAAATCGAAATTTGCTGATTATTTAAAGGATAAGGATTTTAAAATGATTATTCTTTATATTTATTATATGAATTTAAATAAATCTTATATAATGATTAAAAAATCTTTTTATTATAATAAATATATTTATTTAAATTAAAAATGTACTAAATTGAAAACTTCTTTTTTTAATAAGGAGTGATAGTAGCTTATAGCTGTTTAAAATTAAATTTATATCTAGAAGAAAGAAATCTTTAAGAAATTTTATCATTTAAAATTATAGAATGATCTTTTTTAGAAATATATTAATAATTTTATAACAAAGGATATACAGGATATTGCTGAGCTAAAAAGATTAAAGAAAGAAGAGTAAAAAGAAGAAGAAGAAAGAAAATAAAAGGAAGAATAAAAATTAGTTAAATAATGAGTTAATGAAATAGTTATTATTGTCTTTTAGGCTTATTCTAGGTTATTTAAAAATAACTTTTTTAATTCCTTGCTTTTTGAGTTCTTTAATAATGGAAAGCTTGAATTTTTTCTGGATAATTTAAGTGTCTGATTGATTTTTATGAATTATAGTTAGATCCATATTCTATTTATCTAATTAAATAAAAAATTCTTTCTTATTCTATTTTCTATTTTTTGATAAAGTCGACTTTGAATTCATTATTACTGGCTTTATCTTTGTCGTTTTCTGGATTTTCTATAGATTCTAATAATAAGATATGAAATACTGAATATATTTTCATTTTTACTAATAGTTAGAGTTTGTAATTATTGTTGATAAGTTTTTTTTTAATTTTAAAAGATCTATATTTAACTGTATTAAGTTTATTACTTAGTCTTTTATTTAGAATATTAAAATTCTTCTATTTTATAGTTTGTTATAGAAAGTAAACTTTCTTTCTTTTTTTAAAGATTAATATGTTCTTATACTTTTTATTATAATAGATTTTCATTTTTTATTCTATTTATTTAATGTCTTATAAGATTGTTTAGTAAAATATTTAAAGATTCTTAGCTTATATTATTACTATCTTTAATAATCCTTCTTTTAGTACATTAATTCATATTATTCTTAGATAGTATCTAAGATTTATAAAATATAATACTTATTTTATAGTTGTATTTATTATATTATTTATTATAAATTATATTATTGATAGTATTTATATTTAATTATTTTATTCTCAATCTATGTAGTTCTATAAGTATTATTTAACTAATTAAATTATTCTTTTAAACTAATTATTAGTCTATTAATGATTTACTATTGATAATTTATACTTTATTCTGTATATTTTTATAATTATTTGTTAATAGTTTACTATAAATAGCTTGTTTTAATCTATAATAATTTCTTTTAATAAATTAGTCCATAAAAATACTTCTTATAGTATAAGGCTTGCATATTATCTTATAGTTATATTTTTTAGTACTGATTATAGAATTATATATTTAATTAGTCTATTAATAACTATTATAGCATCAGTATAAATTATTCTAAAGATAGATTTCTTTAATTCTAGTAATCCTTAAATAAAATTGATGGTAATGCTTTATTATACTTTTTTTAATATTTTAGATATCTATATCTTTCTATAAGATTTATATATTAATAGTTTATTTTAATTATAGTCTTTATAGTGCTTAATGTAATTCTTAATCTTTTTTCTAAGATATAGGAAGTAATATAATTAATTTATTATTTTAATTGTTTTATTAATTCTTTGATATTCTTAGCTAGATAGATTATGGTGTTATTTAATGATTTTTATAATCATTATTTATGATATTCTGATCATATTGTTCTATACTGCTAATCCATCTTACAGTATTGTTATTCCGTCGTATAATTCTTATTAAATTTATTTATCATTTTTTGTTTCTTTCTTTAGTTATTTTTCAAATTCTAATTCTTTGATTCTGATAGTTACTACTAAGATAGTGTTATGATTGTGTTATAACATTTTTAAATCTCATTTTAGAATATTTATCTTTGATATTTTAATGCTAATTATATAGTTTGATTATCTATTTAGTATATCTATAACGATATTCTATTTTTTTAGTATATATTCAATTATATATTTATATTATGATAGTTCTTTATACTATCATATTTATCTTCTTAATAATTCTTTGATTATTATGAAGTATTTTAGATTCTTATAGTTGATTTTTATAGTAATTTCATGTTTAAATTCTTAGAGATAATATTACTATTATTGAAATGTTTTAATGATTACTAGTAGTTCTTTATTATATATATTATAATTAAATTCAGCTTTTATACATTTTTTTAAGTAGAATGTGATAGTATGTATTTCTTTATTATTAATCTGTTCTAGGATTGCTTTGATTATATATTCTAATATGTCTGTTTATATAATATTCTATAATTTTAGGTTGTATAGTTTTAAAATTGATATATATTTAATAAGTTTTTTAATTTTTTTAAATACTTATTAATGTGTTATTATTCATTTAAATGGTTTGTTCTTTTTTATTAGTTCTATTAATAGAGTTGTAATAGCAGCATATTTTTCTATAAATCTTTATATATAGCTAATGGCTTCTAGAAATGATTGTATATCTGTGATATTCATTGAAACTGACTATTCTAGGATAGTGTTTAGCTTTTCTTTTAATATTTTAAGCTTATTTGATATATAAATTATTTCTAAATATTTGATTTGTATTATATTGAATTCATATTTTTTGATTTTTAGGGTGAGTCCTATGTTTTTAAGTCTTATTATAACCTTTTAAATATGTTTGTTATATTGATAAGGATTCTTTAAGAATACTATTATGTTGTTAAAATACACTGTGATAAAATTGTTTAGATATTTTTTGAGTATATGCGTTATATATTGCATAAACTGTGTTAGTAGATTTTTTAGTCTTATTAAGATGATAATCTATTTATAGAGTTTTTTATCTATTAAGAATACTATTTTGTAGATATCT